ACCTCCGATACTGTACAGCTCTTCCTGGCTGTGATGGTCTTTACGGTTCTGTGGTTTCGCTCTACGATGCCGTTTCCACTTGGCGAGTAGGCACATTGAAACCACAGATGCACGTCCCAATTGTCCACAAATTTTTTAAAGTCTTTACTGGTGAATGCAGTGTCGTTGTCAGTCAGTATTTCCATGGGTTGGCCTCGCTCCAGGAAAACATTGTCCAACAGTCGAATGACGGTGCTCGCATCTTGTCGGTGCAGTGGCCACCATACCGCAAACCTAGAGGGACAGCAATCAATAAGTGTTAGAAAATTCTCACCATTGTAGTGAGTTATGTCCATCGCTAGTCTGCTCCAGTTGCTCTTCACGCTCAGTTCTCCTCTTTCCCAGTGAACAGGTGATGGATCGATCGACTGACAGGTTGTGCAGGCCTTCACAATGGATTTAATGCTTTCTCTGGACACTTGCGGGTCAACTAATCTGTCCGCTTTGACGATGGGTATTGACCACCTGGTCCTCGTCCAGTCATCTCCCTACCATTGCGCAGCTCTTGAGCGCTGGTTCTCCTCTCTTGACCAGATCTAGCCACCTGCGCGGTACTCTGGTGAGGCGATCCGCACAGTTCTGACAGGACTATACGAGTGTCACATCTATGGTCAATCCATATTCTCCCACCAGCCGTCGCCTAACCAGCATCTCACCAGCCGCTCTTGTGTTCACCTGTGCCTTCCCGGTCAAGGTGTCGGAAATCCACTGGTGCACACACGCCAAATCAGTAACCAAGTGCAATGTTGTTGCCTCTCACTGGAGGGCTAGATTGATTCCTTTAAGCGCCACATCGAGTTCAGCTAAATTAATATGCCTGGCATCATTAGTCGGACGCAGCCAACACGCATCTTCGATGACATTTCCGTTTGCTTCCAATGCCACTCCTGGCACCACAGAACTCGCATCCACCCAGACTGTGATCTCGTCACCACCTATGCACCAGTCTCCTCCAGTGGGATCCAGTTCCCGTACTCTACTTAGCATCTCCGCTAATATGCGACAGAGAGAGGGATCTTTGATTTTATCATCCTATCCATTGGTTGCTGCGGTTGCCAGGCGCTTGACGAATGCAACTGCCACCCTGGGCCATCCACACACGGGGAAATGTCCAACAAGTTTCCCACACAACGAAAATACGTGCCGACGGGTCAACATATCAGGGACTTCCGGAATCTGACTTCCTCGTTTCCATCAGAGGGTGCCATTCTCTTCCCAAATTTGCAAGCCAAGAACTCTTGCTCCATCTCTGTCGCACCGGATCCTTGCACACCAAACCGTAATCCGAAAAGTGTTGTCGTACACGCGATGCAGAGACCAGACTTTCATTGATGAAAATGTCATCAATGTATGCTGATGTGGCACTTTCAATTGTGCGGCCTTGCGATGTGATGGCGTCTATAACGGATTTCATAATGAGTGGCGCCACATTTAGCCCAAATCCTAGCTACGTAAGACAGAAGTGTTGGCCTTTGAAAATAATTGTTTGAAATGACCACAGCGCTTCATCGATGTGAATCTGAAGATATGCGTTTCGCAGATCCAGAAGCAACACATTGACTCCCTGCCGCCACCACCGCCACGCTCTCAGCTTCTGTGCACACACTTCTGCATCGGCAGTAAAAGCATCCACAAAGTCATTCAATTCGCGGTAATTGAGTACCGGATGTACCTTCTGTTTCTGCTCCTGCACAATTGCCATCAAGGGAATCAAACCCTTTGGGGTCCCAGTCTTTTCTGAGGGTACAGAATTAACCAGCCGTTCACAAACCACTGTTGAAGCTCTTTCTCATATTTTCCTTTGATGCTGTCGGGCACTTTGTACTCTGCGACCTTGTTGCGAAGCTGAACTGGTGGGTCTTTTTGGGCCCATTTCCGCCTGGCGGTCCACACCCTCTCGTCGGAATTGAAGGAGACGTCGAAATCCGGCTCACTAATGCAAAGGGCTGCACACACCTTCCTTCCTTTACCCAGTTCCACATTTCCAGCTGGCGTGATTATCATGCCTCCTAAAACTCGGATCGCATCGATCCCAAGCAGCAGGTCGTAACCGAGGGGCCTCCAACGTGCCACCAAAACGTCAACCTTGGCATGATCCCTTCCATCTGTGAGGATTAACACAGTCCCGACACCAAAACAGGCCCGGGACACTCTGTCAATCGTCCAAATCTCGATTTGTTGACTGCTCCATGTCACGCATCGATCCACGCTAACGATCGATTGGGAACATCCAGTGTCAACAAGCGCTGAACACCGTTTACCCTCAACGCTCACGTTGACAACAGGCAATGCCGCATTTACTGACCGAGAGGGGGCAAGGGTTGCGACAGCACATTGTCCCCGGACTCGTTTCCTGAGCCATCCTGTGCTGCATGGCCTAACTCGTTGCAGCGATAGCAGCGTAGTCATGCTCACGTCCGTTGGCTACTCTTTCTTCCTACGTCACTTCGGCTCTGGCAGTCTCTAGAGAAATGGTTTGGTCCACCGCACTTGTAGCATTTTGGGCCCTCCAGCGGTGTCTCAGGCGTTCTCATGGCTGATGCGACCTGTTTCATGTCTTGCAAGATGTTTCGGACCCTGGCTAGCAATTCGTCAATTCCCAGTGTGTCCAATCTTGAAGACGCTTGCAGGAGCCGACTGGTGTTGTCGGGAAGTCCTGCCAGGATGGCGCATCCCAGTATGTGGTCCATTGCCCCGCCAAACGGCACTGCCAGCCTTCGCAAATCGGCCAGATAGACATCCACCGTCTCACCTGGCTCGAGCTGTCATTCGACGAACTGTTTGTGATGAAGTGGTCTATTCCAAATGCCGTATATAGGGCACTCTTGATCTCCTCTAGGTCAGCATCATCCCCGAGTTGTTGATATACGGCATAGGATCCCCTCGTGAGTCTCAGTGGGATGACCAGTGCAGGTTCTTTTGTTTTGGAGACCCTGCAAACATGTTCGGCCTTCTTAAACCATTTGATGACATTACATTTGTCCATTGCCGAAATAGCTTGTTGTAGTAAAGAAAAGACTGTCAACTGATAGTAGCAACTGCAATAGATCTCTTCTATTTCTCAACCGCAAGACTTGTAGCCAAATTGCAGTTCCACTGACAGCCCGTCGTAAAAGTCCAACAAAGAAAAAAAAAAAACGCGCTTGCTTTATACAGCCGAGGACCAACCATAATTTGCATGCGACTGATGAGACAACAAGATTTCGCGTTAACTGTCTGAGACCGCATGGCATAAAGTACCGCCATTTTGGTTCTTTTAACCTTTGAGCAGCCGGAGTCTGCATGATGCACAGATTCGTGGGCATTTCCGAAGTAAACCGTTTTCACAATTTTCCCCACAGGATTCAAGTAACTGCTAGCTGATAGACAAAAATTTCTGATGTCAACAAAATTTCTTCACTAGAAGCTCTGAGTCACGTTTTCAAAACCCAGAAATTCCAGCAAGGTAATACAATTTGATAGTGTTCATTTTACTATATAAAAGGAAAAAGATGTCTATTTCACCATGCAACAAAAAAATAAAACTATGCCAAATAAGAGAACTGCAAATCTTCATGAAATTAAAAATTACAAAATAAAACCTAGTAAATACAAAATTTCTTCTACTTTTTCATTTAATTATTAACAAAAATGTTATTCCTGATATTATTTATTTTAAAATTCTCTTAATCAAATAGTGGTAGATCACTATTGTAACAAAAAAGCTTTAAATGTGTTTTTTTCTTTGACCACAATCAGTTTCCTCTCCAACATTCTACTGTCCGCAACATGTAGCCTGTTCGACACAGAAGTAAACAGTTCCTGTCACTTTGTTCTTCCTATTTTTATCTAGAATTCATGGGTTGAGCATGAGCAACATCCAGTTTGACTGTGTCATATCCATAGAACTCTAGTGATTTCCCATTAGTTGTCAACACCTTCACCTCCTGGCATCACCAAAAGTGGCATACAAATCTGCTCACTAGTGTCTGCGTGCAGCCAAGAGTCTAAAAGGGCTATACACTTCTGTTCATCTACGAGCACTTCGATGACTCATAGTGCATCATTTTTTACTTGTTCAAGGAGGAGACTGACATTGACATCTCCTACCCTGAACTGTTTCCCCAGGCACTCTGATGAGATTTTGTCCAACTTTGTTGCAACAAAAGCAACACACTACACAGAATGAACTGCACACCTGGTTATTTGTCCCAAAGTGGAATCAGAGCACTTGAAACAAATTATGCTATCCTTGTGCATTCCAGAATGAGGTGTCTCAGCATGTATTCATTGAATGGATGCAGTAACTGACCCTTCAGGTTTTTGGTTATTGGTTTATAATAGCCCTTGTCCTGGTTAGAAGTTGCTCCAAGGTCATAGTCTCTATTCTAGATGATGCTCTAAGAAGCCTTTCTAATGTCTGTGGGAGCCCAGATGCGAATGTGTATACCATCCAAGAACAGTTGCTCTGCCAAAAAGGAATTAAAGGTTTTCCCAGGATGAAGTCACCTCGCCATGAACTGGTCAAATGCATTGAAGGAGTATGTTGCCTATGTGGTCGCAAGAGCTTGCTTTATCTGCTTTGTGTCTAATCTCTGCTCCTTACTTAGTTGCTGGTATATGGTGAAAGCCCCACCTCTTAATCATAGTAGCAGGACACACTCGATCCTTTTCATGTCACACAGCTCACATACCAATCCACTATTATTAGTAAATCAGTGGCAATGTCACTAAATTCAGGGATCAATCTGATATCAAACACCTTCTTCACCATCTTGCAGAAAAATTCACAATAAAATGTAACCTGCTAAGCCGCCATTTCTTTCTTCTTTGGACAGTTTACACATGAGGTACATTCAAATCTTTATTTGGGCTGGAGGTAAGTTATTTTATTCTAGTGTCGCAAAAATGCATGTAACCCTGGGCCTCTTTGCCTGCTACGGTAGTTCACCACAACTACTGATTTTTTTTTTTCTTTTCAGGAGAGTATCCCACAGTCAGTGCAGCTAAAATCAAAATTTGGCCAGCAATATCAGTGTAGCTTCCCTGACCATAATGAACAGGAAAAACTTAATGAAGAAGTTGAAAAGGTTGCCATGGAGGCAGGCATTCCTGAACTTTTACGACCTTTAGGTAAAAGGCCATGTCTTTTCAAGGTAATGTTAGTACATAAGATTTTCATTTAATGGGGATTTTCCCTTCATGCAAGAAAATTATTAATTAAGAATTCTTTAAGTGCACAATAAAAAAGGGACATATTCAGTGCAAAATTGAAACAGAAAAAGTGTTAATATTTTATGTGTAAAGGCATTTAGGAATAATAGGTTGCTCAAATTATTCTTTTGGGCACATAAAGAAAATTAAGCTAGATAGAGAAAAATGTTCATAAAAAAAAAAATAGGGGCTTACTGTAGTCGTTAGTCTTGTTAAAATAAAGTGTCAGTGAAGTTCACAAAGTGCTGTCAAATTTTCATTTGGAGTGGGAGTTGCAGAATGAATGTTGTTAGTGAAAACTTTCTTAATTTGGCAGTGCTTTGAAGAATTATAATTGAATAGTTGTTTTTGTATTAAGGAAAATTTGGTTTGTTTCAGAAAAATATATCCCAAATTATCAGTTTTTAATTTTTTCATATGTAGTGCCAGAGTTCTTTGTGGGTCGGGGATCCTTCAATTTTTCAATAACCTTGTACTAGATATAATTTAGATATAATGTTGCTACGAACATTATATCTAAAGGGTCAGAAGCAATGCTTATCAAAAATGTCCCATCTAGATATATAGGGGCAGAAGGTTGTATTTTTTATTTTTTTACATAAATTTCTATAATTTTGTATGCTGTTTTTCTGATACATTATTAGGTTATAAAGATTTATGTGAAAAAAAAATACAAATCTCTGCCCCTTTTCCACTATCGAGCAGAGACATTATCAACAAATGAGTTTTGGGGACGGAAGGTTTCAGTGTAATGAAAGGAAGGAATTGAGAATACGATTGTTTTCAACCAATCGGAGAAATGGAATTCAAAGCCTGTGACTATTTTGAAAGGTTCGGAGAGTCTACTGGCGCAAATATAAGGGAAATGACCATCTAGTTTAATCACTATTCAATCATGACATGACTGAGGGGATAGTCATCAATGAGGAGATGCCAGTGCTAAACTCAGAGTATGAAGTGACTGGCAAACAACTCTAGGAGCATATGAAAACTTCAAGCAGATTGTTTTAAACACGTTTTCCTTGATGATTCAAGATAACTCACTTATTACAACTAGAATTCTACAAACATTATTCACTTAGCAGCACTTCCACTACTATGGTGACCTATTGACTCCAAATGAATCAGGAAATGAACATCTTGTGAACTATCAAGGACTTTTTTTGCTTTAGTAGCTAAAGTAAATTCTTACTTATGAGCATGTTTCTCTACCTAGCTTAATTTTATTAGGTGCTCAAAAGAATATTTTGAGCATCCTCCTTTTCACATAAATTATTGTAATGTAAATAAACAAAATCTTTAAATTTCATACTGAGTAAGTTTTTTTTTTATTGTGTGATTAAGAAGATAACTAATTTTTTTTTTGTTTATGTATTTGGGGATTTTTCTATATAAAGTTACTGTTTATTGTGTTATTGTTTTTATTTCTTTCTGCTGATTCAAAGAACGATCTGACTTGTTACCTCTCTTAAAGTCGACACACTTTCTTTCTTTTCTTCCCTCCTTATTCTCTTCCTTGCTTGAATGTTGCAAATAAATGAAACAATTTTGGATAAGATCGCTACACCTTATTCCTTTGATACATTTTTTCTTTCCTAATTTTCCTACAACAATACATCACACTTCCTTCTTGAACTCAATAAATACCCCTTTCTCTCATTTTCAGTTTTTCCCCTTTTGTTTTCTCCAGAGTAGGTTGTCAATGGTGAGAGGAAGAAGATAAGTTAATATAATAATTTTTCTTTCCTCACATTCTAGTTTAATTAGTTTAAATATTTTTATTTTATTATTTATTTTAAAATTGAATTTGAAAACATCAGAGATATTGCACTTGTGAATATCATTTCTTTTTTATTCTAGACCAAAGATTGGTGGAGTTATGAGTTTTGTTATGGTAGATATATCCGACAATATCATATGGAAGGTAGGTGAATATTTCTGTTAAGATTTTCTTTTCAATCATGTTACACTTTGTACCTATGGTATTCCTAAGGTTTGTTGACTATTTTTACTTTGCTTTTATTCTTTAATGATTTGATTGCACTCTGTCTTTGTTTTTGGTCTTTTTGAGAAAGTAGTATTAGTTGTCAATTCTTTTTGCATGACAAGAAGTTACTGTAATTTAAAATGGTTGATATTTGATAGGCCAAACTTTTGGTCTTGTGTTGAAGCAGCTCAGAAGGGACAAGGTGCACCGGGCGGTGAAACATTTAAATAAAGTTTACTTGGAAGAGTAACAAATGGTCAAGTTCAATTAGAATATCACTTTATGGTGTGACTTGATTCATCCGAAGTGTTACATCAAGAAACTGAACATTTTTATTTCAATAACTTTAGCAACCAAAAGACTCTAACAAATGGTAATAAAAAAAATTAGATAATTGAAAAATCTTGCCAATGGTATTACTGAATGATAACTTGACTGCTACTACATGACCATTATATAGGAATTGATGTGCCACTAGGTCAGTGGATAAAGGTGTTGGTTAGATCCAGTGATTAGCCCCAAAGAGTTGTGAGTTCACAGCAGTGGTGAACCAAAAAATAGGAGAGTTGAATTAAAGGGAAATAACCGAGACATCCGGAAGAGACATGGTAAGTCGAACTAGAACAATCTACCTCAGTAGAAGAAATAAAGGGTTCAGTTCGAAATTCACCTGAAGAATGGCCGAAAGGTTGAGAATATGGCAGTGAAGGTGAGGATAACTGTCTGAATAATGTAAATACTTTATAATCTTTGACAAAAAATCCAAAATTATTTGATTTTTTTTTTTTTATTAAGATTGCAAGTACAAAGCAAATTCCTTTGTCTAATTCATTTGCTATGAAAATAGCATTAGAATTAGTCGAATTGTTGCGGGATGTACACAGAGTGAAATATATCAGAAGGCAAAATTAAGTAAGATGAAGGTTATGCGTGCTTATAGCATCCGTATCCCACAAACTACCAAATACTGTTGTTAAAGATTTAACATTAAAGAAATTTTTATATCAACAATAAAATATACATGCAACAACAATCACAATGTTTGCTGTTGTGATAATTGAGACAATGTCATAAGGATTTGTGCAGGAATGTTGTTAAGAAATTTAAAATGATTTGGTTTCTGCAAAGAAAAAGAAATTATATGTGTTCGTTTATTTATCAGTGTATGCATGTGTGTAATTTACAAGTAAGAATAAATGTTATCGAGTTGCTTGCCTTTGACTTTTAGGCTAAGTTGATGAGATATACAATTACTTTTTAGTAGTGAAATTGTTCCACTTTTCAAGTCAACTGTAGATGTTGGTTAACACGCGGACAATGGTTGATGAATGTTTTATTGAGTTTGTTGAGATTTCAATGTGGCGTTTGAGTCAGTGAATTGTCAGGCATGGAGTTTGGTAGCACCTTGTTGAAATTTGGTGGCTGATTGTCTGAATTGAGTCATGCAGTAAATTTATAGATTTTTGTGTAGCGAAATCAGTTCCAAAGAGCTTGGCAGGAAATAGGATTCATTTGGAATTTTGCTACACTTTGGTGTTTATTAACCAATAAAAAGATTGGATTTCAAAAACGAGATGATGATTGATTAAAGGCTTTTCAGAGAAGAATACATTTTTCTGAAGGGAGTTAAAGGCTAATGTGGAAGATTCCACTGAATCATCCTCCTTCTCTTCATAAATTGTTAAAGAGGAGGTTCTACTCAGCTTCTACCTCGGAAATGTTGCATTGTGGAACACTCGCGAGAGGATGCTTCCTTGACCACTACAATCTTAACCTTTTCATTCTAGGATCAACATATCCTCATAATATGCATTGCTTGCTACCTTCTTGTATACTCTCACAACAACCACATTTACTAACCCTCTACCTTGAGTGGTTCTTGAGCCTTGTATTTTGTTTCATTTCCTCAATGAAGTACTACTTTTTCTTCTCATATTCTGAAAATAACCTAATGAATAGAATTGATTATAATCTAAAACTAATATTGCTCTTTTAAACATTGTGTATTTATAAACTAATTTAATCTGTATCTATAATTATGAAATATTTTGAAATATATAAACAAGTATTCATTATAAAAAAAAAAAAAACTGATGTAAGTATTGTTATCAATTTGACTCTTTAATTTTCCTTATTGTTTTGAAACTTGCATTTACTTGGGATGATTAGTTATTCTACCTGTAGAAATTGTATTTGTACTGGCTTTCAAACTTTACTTGTTTTCTGCATTAGAGAGTGACAACTTAATCAATAAATATAGATTCAATAATCTCCCTTTTAACTTTTTTCTGTAATCTCTATTTAAAAGTTGCTGGTGTAATCCTATTTTAATAGTAATATTAGATGTTCACTTATAAGGAAACAGCATTCATTGACTGAGCAGCTGATGCTACTTTTGGTTGAAATTTATAGAATCTTTTTCTTAAAACAATTTTTCAGGAAAATAGGTTTCTTAAGCTGTTATTGCTCTTTCCACTACTGATCAGAGCTTCCTACCTAGCATTTTGTTTGAAGTAGTATGGAATGTTAACTTTTAGTTATGTCCTTATTTTCTCTTTGAGTTATATGTGCTACCCACTTTGTTGTTGGAAGTCCTCAAGTAATGTGGTTTTCTGTTACAGTTCTTTGATTCTGTAGCCCCAGTCCACAAGGTTAGAAGAAAGTGGGTCATTGCTAAAACCTACAGGCTTCATTCACTTGAAGCCACCTTTCACCATCAATCTGAGAAAGTGGTTGTATACAACTTACAGTTTAGATATTTCTTAATGAGTTTGGCACCATTCATGATCTTTGTATGATCTTGATCTGATGAGGCTACTTAAGAATATGACTAGAGTTTTAAGTTAATGTTTTGCTTTTTGCTAGTGCAGTATATACTATGTTCAATTCCCTTATCTTCTATACTAAATTTGTTATAGCTGATCCATACACTTGAGTATTTGAAGTGTTTGGTATTTACTAATTCTACATCCTGAATTTTTATGATGGATTAAAGGTTGGTGTCATCACTGCATCACTGATCCCAATTCCAGATCATAGTTTCTGTTTTGGAAAGGCTTGAGTCCTATTTCTTGGAACAATTGGTAGATGCTGATTCTTTTTTTTTTTTTTTTTTTTTTTTTTCCAAATTTAATCTTATCCCAGCGATTAATACCTATATTATTAGCATAGTTCTCCCCCACCTCATCATCTATACATTGGTCTTGCAAGGAAAACCAATAATGCTGTTTTGTATTAGTAGATTTGTTTGGGATGTGGTATGGAATGCTTAAATGATCAGTGCTCATTTCTTTACATATGTGCTTGCATATGTGTGTAGGGCATAGTCTAGGAAAAGATTAAATAAATTGGGACATTTATTTCTTCCTTGTATTCCTGACGAGATTTGAAATATTTCCATATTGGGGTTCTCACCAGACATGTATGATTTTGTGGACTGATATAGTTCCTTTATCATATCTAGACATTCAGTTGAGTCAGAGCTTGGAAAGCAGTTTCTATTGGACGAGAGGAGGAAGTCTCTGTTAATGTGGACATATGCTGCTCTGAGGTTGACATAGTAGGTATACAATTTTCTGTTAGTGAGATATGCAATCTCCTGGAGTTGTTTAATCACATATATGCCATCATTGCATCCCTTGCGAGAAACAAAACCAAATTGGGTTGTGAGGAGTTGATTTTCATACTGTGTAGGAGCCTGGTTAATGCAATATTCCATTGTATTAATGGAACATTGCATTAACAATTTTACCATAATGGATCCGATTGAGATACCTCTGTATGTTTGTGTGTATCTTGAGGACTCTTTTTTTTCCATAGTTTTATGGGATGTGTTTCTCATTCCAGGAATTGAGAAACTTGTTATTATAGAAGGTAAAATATCTTTAAAAGTTCAGCCTCAATGTTAAGTGATGCTTTATTATTCTTTATTATTAATCATTAGTTTTTTTTTTTTGTTTTTTTTTATAGCTTTCTTAACTTCATCATTAGACTCATTATTGTTTACATTTGGAGATAGACTGTCTAATGATCAGATGTATATTAATGTATGTTCTGTTTTTGTTGGCATCTTCAGTTTAACGTGGTCCGGGTTGAAATATAACTCAGTGATTTTGAGATCTTGTGTGTTTGCTTTGATTGTATGATGTTATTATGATTTTTTTTGTTTTTCCCCACATTTCAGCTGTTTGGCTTCATTAATTTGGTCTCCAGATATTGTTTTTTCAGAGCATTAACTAGATCTTGTATCAATTTGTTAAAAACTGGTTGTTAAAAATTTATAGTAAAGAAATGTTCTAATTTCATATATTGGATATACAAGGTAGCTTAAGTCATTTTACCATTTGAGAAACTAACTTTTATATTTATTTACTAATTGTAATTTCTGTTGGTTTAATTATAGAAGATGAATCTTGTAAATGTCCTCCATTTGCTGCTTAGTAGTTCACATATAGTACTTGAAGTAGCCCCATAGGTAGAAGTCAATTGCAGTTGAATTGTTCTCCATACATATCTCTTGGGAGCTTCATTGTCTCTCTTGCCTTCTGGTGTGTTCTCAACCTGCTGAACTTACAAATTGCTCAAACATTTTATAGTATTGAGCATCAGTCACTGTTACTTCATTGCCTCTTTTATCCTTGAAGAAGTAGAGGCCAAATATTCCTTGTGAAGTTACACAACATTGAACTGTGAATCTGATTCTGGTGTATGGTTTGAAGATTTTAGGTATTCCAAAATCTGCCATTTTGTTTATTGACAAATTCATTTTCATTATCATCTCTCACCATCTGTTGAAAATGAACAACATAATCATGACCTTGCTGATAATCGATCTCTTTGATTACTTGTACTTTGAATGAGTATGTGTAAATCTTTATGTAGTCACTATAAGAACATTCTGATAATCTCAAACTATCTGGAATGATGTCAAGTTGATGGAGCATCTTGCTCAAGGCTTTTCTCAACTCAAACCATATTTTCTGAGGTTTGCATGGTTTGTTACATAGTCTCTCAGCCTGTGGTAAATTGCCAACAGATCCTTGTTGGAAACAACAAACTAGTTTGATTATTGATGATTTAGAGAGCAAATTCCTCACTTGATAATGATATATGTAGGACGTCTATGTGATCAAAATAGACTATTAACTTACTAAATAAAATTCTATTTTTAATTTTTTGGCCTATGCTGAATTTCTTTATAAAATAATGTTCAAGGCTTGAAGTGTTAATATCTCAAAAAATAGCTTTTATTGGGAAAAGTGTTATGAAATTTTCCAGTGGTAGCACCATTTTTTAAGTAAACCTTTATATTTAAGATGCTAAGAAAAAAATAGAAATGCTCATATTTAAATTTTGGAGGTAAAGAATTATCTAATGATTAAATTACAGAATCTAAAATAGGAAGTTGTTTCTCAGCCTGTCTGTGACATTTCTGTATATTGCCTTTAAATTTGTTTAATGTTTGCTTTTGACAGACCAGAAACCTGTTGGAGACATTATCTACTTGGGTTATTTTGAATCCGAATACAATTGGGAAAACACTACTGAAGAGGTGAATTTTTTTTTAATTTATCTATTCATTATTATTACTTATTTTATTTCACCCTATTGTTTTCTCTTCAACCAAGAAAATTGAAAATAAATTAGAAACTGTCAGAGAGACATAACAAACATATCTTACACTTTGTGAGATTATCTTTTATGGGTATTGCTATGACTTTTGTATGCTGTCATTTCAATTTTGTACTGATGTTTTCATGGTCAAAGAGTTTAATGACCTAACAAAAAAAAATGGAGTAAAACTATATACTTGTATTTTTTTGATCTCATCTTGGTTGACATAGATGTTATAGACACAACATTTAATCTCTGGTCATTATCAGGTATCCATAGGACATAGGATATCTATGGTCATTATCAGGTATCCAGCTGACATAGGATATCTGTTGATTAATGTGTTATTTTTTTCCTGTGATGACAGTTATTTTTCATTCCTTCTTCATGACTAACTAGATAAAGTAATTCTAAAAATAATTTCAAATCAATTTTGAAGTGCCTAAATTTTATGAAACTTTTAATAATCGAGAATATTTGATTGACATAAATGATTTATGTGAACATTTTATTGATAGCTAATACAAAATATTTGCTTTTTAAATTTTGGTTTTTGCCATTATTACATGAAGAAGCAATTACACAAAGTTTGCATAAGTTTTACTCATTAATGTAAGTGATAAATGATGTATGGCTTTAGCTTTTGAAAGTATCTATTTGTTCAATTTTTTAAAAAATTGACATGACTTATGTGAGTATTTACTCATAAGTTAAGTTTTGTGTTTGTTGTGTAATATGACTTGCTGAAAATGCCTGAGAAGATTGTGAAATAAAATTAAATATTGAAATTCATATATTTATATGGTTTAGGTTATCTAGATAAAGAACAAAAAAAACTTAAGCTATTTTCTGATGTATACATTTTTTTTTTATATTCAGGAAATTACATTGCGCAAGAAGCATGAACAAAATCGATATCACAGTCAGCGTTATGTGAACGGCACCAAGTGTGATCTTAATGGTGAGGGCCGGAAAACAGAAGTCAGGGTCAGTGGATGGATCATTTTGTTTTTCTTTTATAAAACTTATTTACCCCAAATTTTTGTCCCTACTTTTAAATGAATATACATTTTTGATTGTACCATTTTCTTCTTTAATGAAAGTAGAAATTCTTTGAGTAATATTCAGATTTTTAATGTTTTAAACTATTAAAATGTTTTTTTTTTCTTTTAATCTCATTCTATTTCTATATTAATGCTTAAAATTGTTGAAGATACACTAAGATTATAAAGCATCACTCATCTGGTAAAATGTCTGTTAAAATTTATTTATTTATTTTTAAAGTACTGAATTTTGTGAATATTTAGACTGATTTCTGATCCTGTACTTAACCAATGCTACTGGTGGTTATATATCATTTGCCATTATCCTGCACATAATTTTTTTTCTTTTTTTTTCTTTTTTAATATTCAAACATTTATGAGTAGACATTTTATAGTAGATGCTCAGTTTAATATTTAAAAAATAATTATAATAAAACTGATTCTCCACTGAAAAGTGATCAAATAAATATTGAGCTATACTAATCCAGAATCTGTTTTTCTAGGAATTAAACAATTGACTTTTCACATGATCCATATCAGATTAATTATAAGGAAAAGGACATTAGTTTTTTTATGAATAAATTTGTTCTTTTTTTTTTTTTTTTTTTGTCATGATTTGTTTCTTTGATCATTTTTATTTCAGTTTATGTGTGAGGAAGGCAATGGTGACTTTATTAGTCAGATTGATGAACCTGAGACATGTGTCTATGTGCTAACTGTATACACAGCTACTATTTGCCATCATCCATACCTAAAAGCACCAACCCCCAGCAAACCCATATCAATCACCTGCAATCCAGTTTTAGCCCAAGAGCAATATGATGCTTACTTGGAGCATATACAAAGTAAGCAACTTTCTTTGGTCTCATTTTGTACTTGGCTACTGACTAGCTAATCAGCTTCTGTATAATGTAAGCAAAAGTTACTTGGTGGTGAATGAAAGAATGCATGTACTATTTTATGAAGGAAAGATTAAAAAGATATTTAGTAACATGAGTTTTTTTTGTGTTGTTAGATAAAAGGCAGATGGCTTTCTTTCCAATGTCAACATTATTGAACGACATATTTACTTTTGCATTTCACTTTATTTTAACATATTTCAAGCTAATTTATAATTGCATTCTCTTTAAACTTTTATTTTTCTAACTAGGGAACTGCTCAAGAGGACTTTTGCAGTTTTCCAGGGATTGAAATCTTTCCATTAGAATTCCATAAATACTAGAATGAATGGTATGTAGTTGCTGGTGAATATAGTGGATGAGTAAAAACTTCCAAACAAAGCTGTAAACCATTTTACCTGGTCAACAAAGGAACATCTAAGTTTTTTTCATAGAATATTATGCCCTTTTTCTGAAATTATTAAAAACACTTTTTACCAGTTACTGCTTTCTCTCAGCATTCTTCAAATATAGAGCCTCCAGAACTGCTGCACTCATTTCTAAATGGATCCTTTCTGGCACTGGAAGATTTTATACTTTAGGTAACCACAAAAACTGAATAGTCAACCCTAGTTCATGCTGGAATGTGCTGCAGCCATATCTTACCATAACCATTACTACAATATCTATCACAGGGAACAATGTAGCGGGACCCTACTGCATTCAGAACTACCTGTAATCATTGCAAGAGAGTTCTAGATGATGCAAAGTGCAGCTATGTATAAGCAATCCAAGCCATTGTCGAAAGCATAAAAAATCTCTAACCAAATTCGCAGTAGAGGTGAAGCATTAGTGTCTATTATCATTAATGGCCATGAGGTTATCTTACTTCTGTCAGTTTTTTGTAATAAAGTTTGCTTATGACTCTATGTTAAATGACACAAGCCATCCCCTTGAACCTAAGAAAGCCACCAGTTCAAATAAAATCCTGGTGGTTGTCCCAAAGAACATTAACCTTGACATATCTCCAATCTTGGCAAAATTGTTTAACCACTGCCTGAAGGAGAAATCCTTCACAGGTCTGAGAGGTGTTAAGTGTATTAGTTTGCAAGAATGTGGGTAAGTGCTCATCCTCATTGCAATATCAGCCCATCAACCACCCCTGTCATCAGCAAACTCTTTGAGACTATCATTAACCTCCTGAGCAACAAACAATAAGGATTTTGATCTGCTTGGTATCCTGTTATTATTAACATAGTCAGTGAGGCATTAGACAATAAATACATTATGTGGACGATTGTATCAAAGGTCTTTGATAAGATGTATCATAGGGTGTTGCTACACAAATTATCCAGCTGGAAGAATTTTCTCATTTATCAAGTCTTTCCAAGTAGGTAGGTCCATGAAGGTTGTTAATGACCAGTCCTCCAAACCTTGAATGCATATTGGGACTTAAGTGAAATCCATCTCTAAAGATGCTGAAAAAATGATCGATTCTCTGTACCACTCTAGTAAATATCTGACTCTTGCTATACTCTATCTTTACAAGTGCCAGATCAGACCAAAAATGGAGTACTGCAGCCATATGTGGGTTGCCCAATCTTCAATTTCCAGTCTTGATAGTTCAAACACATCTATACAGCCTTGTGAATAATGAATTATTTTCCAACTTACAACTCCTTTCCCACAGTTGAAATGTTGCAAGCCTTTGTCTACTCTATCACTATTCACATGGAAAATATTCTGACAGGATCATTTCCTTAGTTCCACCAATTTTCTCACAGCTATGAACTGCCATGCCATGTACAGTGAGGCAAACCACCCTCATTCCCTTTGTATTTCATTACTAAGAAGGAACAGCTTCATCCTATGAACTGCTACATTGTAAAACCAGTTCTCAAGAGGTTGCTTTCCAGACCACCACAATTTTATCCTCCTCAAGCCTAGGGTTAACCATTATCTTTTCCATATATCCTCATAATCTGCACCTCTTACCACTCCTGCAACAAACCTCTTTCTTGAATGTCTCTTAGGCCTTGTATACAGTGAACGTTAGTGAAAAATAAAAAGTAGGAGCAGTACTTGTTCAAACCAATTTTGGTTCTCTGAAATAAGCTCATAGTAGAGGACTCTAATTTTACCATATATGGACCATTCTATGGATGAAAACCAGTCTTTGGTAGCATTTCTGGTGGTTCATTTCACTTCGTCCCTGATTTCGCATGTTCCTTGTTTGTTGTAAAGTATCCATTTTTAATTACCTGTCATAATTCTTCAAGAAACATAAAAAGTATTGTTTTTTATTTTTATGTAGAAGTTAAAGCCTTTCACAAGCTGCTGCAAATAATTTTGAGTGCTTGATTTAGATATTTTGAGTATGTTGACTATCATATAACATTAATTATTTCCAGGTAATGTTTTCATTTGATAACTATCAGTTTGGAGCTATGGGGAATAGATAGTAATGGGAGGTCACCTTTTACACATAAAGTAACTGAAGTTGCTTCTTTTCTTCTATCTTTCAAGTTAATCAATGACCTAAATACATCCCAATTTTGATAGTTTTGTTTCAAAACTTGCATGCTGATTTAACTGTCATTTTTATTTTCCAGTGAAATTAAAACTAACTGTTCCTAATGGTATCTTATGACAAGCACAAAAACATTTTGACCATTCCTACTTAGTTGTTTTGTTCACTTCTATTATCATTTCTCAAACATTTTTCAGCTGAGACTTTGATGTAGTCTTTGAAAGTTATTTCATTTGTGAATTTTTATGAATTAGTAGTTTTTCTGCTCTAATTATGAAGTAAAGGCTGAGGAAACTGACTCAGCTTTAATGTGGTCTCTGTGACAGAATTATTGGGAGAAAGATTTTATGTATTCATGGATTTGGCTTAATTGGACTATCATGAGAATACTATTGTTTACTGTTCATTTTGCCTCCTCCATATTTTTCTTTTTTTTTACTTCTTTTTTTCTGAGAGTTTTTTTACTCTATACTAGTCACTCCTTTTTTCTTTCTCTTCAGTTAGGGTTTTCCAATTTTCTGTCAGTTCATGTACATGTTTAAATTAGGAACATTAAGTAAACAATATATTCCAAAATTAATGACTATAAATAAGAAATTATTAATCTCACATGTGGTTATTTAATCAAACAATGTCAAGACAAAAATGAAAAATTTTTCCATATCTGCATTTTTAAAACAATTAAAAATTGCATTACTTGGACTGTTATCCTCATCTTCATTGACATATTCAAAATGGCTGTTGATAGGAATTTTGAACCAAACCCTTTATTTCATCCACCAGTGTAGATCTAGTTCCATGTGCTCTTCCAGATGCTTCAGTTATTTCCTTTTAACTCAACTCTCCAAGTTTTGGTTGTGGCCTGGTATTGAACTCGCAACTTTGGGTCTAATCAACAACATTATCCACTAGGCCATGTGTCATTGAGGACATCTGTGTATGAATTTTGGGGACTTATAAACCTAACGTCTCTGCAAATAATTTTTTTACCAGTGCTCATATTGTAATTTTTTCTGTTGCATTTTTTTTTTTTTTTTTTTTTTTTGCAATTCTTGTTGTTATTCATTGCTTTTCTCTAACATTTCTTATTACTGGTTCCCATATTGTATTCATATCTATGCTTGGTCAGCTCAGGAGATTTTTGTGGCCTAGCATATGTGCTGATTCCTTTGAAATGTAAGTAAATTTGAACTTTTTGTATTTTACTAATACAAAGAAAGCTCATTTTACTACTTTTTTTTTTATTTGGATCTGCAATCATTTTCACTTAGAAGAACCTTTTATATTCAGTACAATTTTTTTGTCTAAGAATTGGATGAATTTTATATAGTTATTGATTTTTTTTATACTTATGTACAAATATGGGTTAAATCTATAAAAACACAATACCTAATGTTTAAAATGAATTTTTAATAATAAAAAAATCTTTTTTTGAAGCTTTTATTTTAGTTTTAATTTGAAGCTGAGAGATTAAATTTAATATTTCCAATAAACAAAATACTATGCTGTATTTAAAAACTAATTTAAATTGATTGGAAGTCATTGTTTTTTGAAATTTCTAAAATTTTTGAATTTTGCACCATTTTTAGCAAAGTGTTATAAAAATGTAAATCTCTTTATTAAAAAATACTCCAAAAATAAAATACTTTCTGAAACTTTATTTCAAGAATATTAGCTGATTTAAAGTATAATTAATCTGATTTGCAACAACTATTGTATTTTTTTAAGTTTAATATATCACAGAAATGCATTTTTCAATTCAATGGTAGCTTGTTTATTTATGTTGACAGGTTTTTAACACCTCTGTGACATTAGATTGTTATCTAATGTTGTTCTACTGGGGCTTTTAACTTAAAAAATAATTGAGGAATATAATGCAAACACCTTTTAAGTACTCTGTAATTTTAAAAATTCAAGAAAATATTCTCCATAATGTTTTATTGAATTTTAGAGTATTTGGGCTCTAAATTTATTATAGGTGTCACTCTTATTTTCTGGCAGTGCTATATTTGGGTGACCATATCAATAAAATTCGGCAAACTTTTGCACATATAAAAACAGTTAAAAATTCTTTTAAAAATATTCGGAAGTATCAGATAAGCTTTACAGTATTTGATTAGTAAATATAGGTTTACTTTTACTTTCCTAAGAGTTACACCATTGAAACTGAATTTTAAAAGATTTAAGAATATTATAAATTATTCTAATTAAAATTTGAAAAATTCATTTTTCATTGAAAAATTTTTTTTTTTAAGTATTATTTTCATAAAAGTAATTAAAAGCATCTTAGTTTTATTGTTTTTTCTACTTTTTGATTCAGATTTTCAGTAAAATTAAAAAAACAAATTGGTAATTGAAATTCCCCAGAGAATTCTGCTTTTAACTAATCACTAAAAATTATCACACTGAATTTCTCAAATTTTCATAAAATTAAGTAAGGGAGTGAAACACGTGTATGAAAAAAACAAATTACCAAGATTTTCTAATAAAAAAGATTTCTAAAATAATTTCATTAATTTGTGAATAAGTCTGAAAATTTCATTAAAATCTGACAATTGAGTTTTACAATAATTTCCAAATTGAGGTGTCTTTCATTGCAAAAGATGCTAAAATTTGCTGTTTAAACGTAGTTCATCTGCTGATGCAAGAAAAACAAGGTTTTTAATCAAAATTTCAAAAAGGAGTAAAAAATTTAATTAAATACTAAAAAATACTTTGATTTTTCTCTTAATAATAACAAAGATTTTGACTATGTTTTCATTATGTTTGGAGCATGTTTCCATCAGAGTATGCTAATATTTTTTTTTTTTTTTTTTTTTAGTGATTTCATGGTGGTACGTAGTTAAATAGCAGTACAGACTGATGTCTCTAGCCATGATTGGCAATCAGTGTAGGAGAAGGACAACTCTGAATTCAAAACCGGATGTGGCCCTGATGGGATACATACTTGAACTGTAACTAAGGTCCATTAAGCATAGTTGCAGCATAGACCACAGTTTGGCTCTGTGAGTGTTGAACAAATGCAAATGGGCCTGCTTGGAAATGAGCAGCCATGCTGAAGATGAGAAATCCTACTGATTTGCAGTGTGCCTTCAAGTTATAAGAACTCTAGAATTTATATGAATCAGAAATGTGACATATTATTATTTCTATGAAGTAGGATGTGATATAATCCTTAAAGTTTCACAGTTTCCTTAGTCAACTGGTTTATATAAACCTGAAAGATCTAAAAGAAAAGTCTGAAAATTTTTTTTTCTTCTTCAGGTGAAGGAAAGCAGAAAAAAATGGAAAAAGAAAAGTTGCTGGAAGCAGAAAACACTGAACTTCCAGGAAATGGTAACTTGATTTTAATCTTTGATATAAGGCAAGCATAGTTTTGCATTGCCATTTATTACACTTAATTATACCTTGAAAATTGTATTAATGTGTAGATTTAACTTTCTCCTTTACTCATTGATTCATCAGTAATTCTCAGTTACAACTATCTTTATTGACAGTGAAATAAAAATAGTAAATTCTTAGTATTCTGTTTATAAATCACTGCTATTTTGGTGTGTCATATTGATTGTTATATTAGAGATGGTGCTAAAATGAGTAGATTCTGTTAATTTTATTTGCTCATTCTTTCATCATTGTTTAACGTTTTCCATCACTGACAAGTTTTAGATAGCTTTGATTTTGGTGACATAAAATATGTTGTTAAGCTAGTTGGTAGCTACCAATAAAATGGAGGTTATCAGTTACTTTGATTAATATAGCAAACATAGTTAACAATTACATTCTAGTTAAAGAAATAGTTTATCAATTTTAAATTTTAATAATCAATTTAATAAATTTTGGAAAGGACCACCCAATACTGATTTAGCAGAAATTATCAAGTGTTGCATTTGGATTTTACAAAAATATTTTATGGAATTCAATTAAAATTTGTAATGAAATTTCGAAAAGGCTGTAGGTTTTAAATAATTTTAAAAATATTTTAAAATAAAGACATGATTCACTTTCATCATTAAATGATAAAGTTGTAAGTAATAAATATTGTATGAATTAATTGGGGATTGATAACAACTATTGGGAAATTTGATGCCAATCAACACTTAAAACTTTTTCTGTCTTCTATGTTTCTTCAGGAAGTAGGGTCATAGCTCTCCACATTTTCCTCTCTTCTGTTGTTTGAACTAATATTTGTTCATTTACAATTCCTTTTTGTGGGATTTGTTTTGCCATCTATTCACCCAAACTTACGAGAGAGTTTTCTTGCTGCTTTCTTCTGTTTTGCCTTTAATGTACCTTGTGAATGTTAAATTTTCTAAGCTTTCTTTATTCAAGTCCCAAGAATTTCATCTAATTCTTTCAAATTGTTAGCAGCAATTTCTTTGTAGTTCCAGTTTTTCTTAATACTCCTTCATTTTTCACATGTTTTGTTTATGGCATTCTCACTATTTGTCAGTAGAACTATATATTTGTCGCTTCAAGTCGTTTTTATCTGTGACACTATTGTCCAGCATTCACCTGCCATAATTAAACTTTTAGAAACAAAATACTAAAGGAGACCACTCAATACTAAGTGAATTTTCTTGTGTAACCTCATAAATGAAAAGGTGGAGAAAATATGATTTTTTTAAAGAATATAAAATATTTTCAGAAAATGTCATTCAAATGGTTTCTTTTCAACTATGTGACAATAATCTCTATTGTTAGTGCAGTTGTTTATTAATTACTTTGTTGCCAGATGTTCTTTTATCTAAAAAAATCCATTAAGATGGATAGATGGTAAGCAGAGAGAGAGAGAAAATAGTTATGTTATTAATGGTAGAAGAGTGCTGAAAATGTTTATACTGTTGTGTATTGACAGCAGTGAATAATCTTAGCTTGAATTTTTCTCATGGCCAGCAATTGCCAGTCATTTTGGTTCAGCAATGAAAGACTTCAACACAGAATTTAAACTTAACTATTTTTATTAATCATGTCGACATGTACTTTATCTAACTATCCAGTGGGCGAGCTGTTTCGGACATGAAAGAGTACATGTCTACATCATTTGACAAGTAAGAAACAACTTGCTGAAAGCTTTTCTTCTAACTCATTCCTATGCTAGCTCACCCAATCAGAATCGACTTACCTGTTATGGTTCACATCTGATCCCAGCTGTCAACCTCTGGAAGTCAGAGTTGAGATCAACTTCCTCTAAAAATAATAATCTGCTAATCTATTATTTAACATACCTAACCTGATCATTAAAAAGATTCATTTATGAATTTTACTTATATTACTCTAAAATACCCTTTACTCTTTTGTGTTTGCAAAGTGTACTCCTTACATTTTTTCTTCATTGGACCTCGGTCACAAGACCCCTCCGACATGCATATATACCATTCTTGAAAAAGAATAAACACAAACAACAAAACTCTGATCAGTTTTTTCATGCTTCACAAACAATTGCAATTCTGCAATCTGATATTCCTGAGGAGAAAAAAATTTCTTGCCTCTTCACTTGAGGCTACATGAAATGTACAAATAATTCACAGAAAAAATACTGGTGCAAAAATGACACAATACATGACGAAAACCCCACACCACAGCATCAACCAATTTCATAACTGAGCCATGTCATTACCACCTAAATTTTACACTTTAAATATATTATGATCTATTCTTATTTCCCACTCACAGTGACATGGTACACATATCACCCTATTTATTCAACCACAACCAATTAATTACTTTATTATTTGTGCATTACCAGATTTACTTGAACAAATCTTGACAAATTTACAACCATTAATTTTCTATAATTACTATTATTAATCATTTGCCTTTGTGTTTCAAAACTCAACTCGCATCATCTCAATTCCTTCTGCCCTTGACTTCCTCCACGGGGTAAACAACCACATCTACTCAGCATCTGCTAACTAATCCATTATTGGCTTTACCATGGTTACAAGGGGTTTCTTCCCTTAGTTGTATACTACAACCTGGCATCCCACAAGCCACCTGAACAGTTCTTTTTAGTTATCAGAGCCGTTCCTCAGATCCGGGGAGTATCCTAGAATATACTCATCTTCTATGAATACTTCACAGCTTACAGTTCCCATTTACTATCAACATTGTCTGGTTTCCCTATCTACATAGCCAGGTGTGACAATTACTGAAACAGCAAACCCCCGCCCCAGAACACAGACCCAAACACATTCGGAAATCCAAAATTATGCAAGCCAAATCTACTTATTCCCACAAACAATGAATTAACTTAATTTTTCCACAAAAAATTAACTCACAAAATTCACCAATTAACAACTTGATTCTTCAACCAATGAAGACAAAAGGACACACACGGCGCTTAAAGAATTCCACACACTGTTACAGAAATTAACAAAATGCTCATTTGTCAGTTAATTACAATTAACAAAATAATTCTAAACTGTTGTAACTGAATTATTAAAAACAACAATAGAAAACTGGAATTAGTTTAAGTTTATTACCTTTTGGTGCAGGGAAACATAATGTAGAATAGAAAATAGGGAAGAGAATTTTTAGCTGTGAATGACTGTTTTCATCAAATGCTTCTTCTGCTACTGCACCTCCTCTTGATGAAGGAGTATTTTAATGTCTTTTATCCAAACTTGTAGGGAAATATTCTCCCCCCCCACACACACACACTTTGAGATTTCACCTCTTCTGGAGGCCATCCCTCTTTCTTTGGGGATCTAAGTCCAGGATTTCTGTTGGACTTCTTTTTTTTTTTTTTTTTTTACACTAGTCCTTTTAGTAAAAATTTTCTATTTTCTATTGTTACATTCTTTGGTTACTTTCTGGAGGGTTAAATTAGTATCTTACTCAAGTCTTGTCTTAGAATTCAGGCATGAATTCCAGTGTATTTATTTGCTGTAAGGCCCTGGACAAAAATTAAACATTTTGGTGCTTAATTTATCGAGTTTGAATTTCTCACATTAATGATTAACTACCGTAGCATACGTTAAGTAGTCTTCATGCTCCTTCTTTTACTAAATTCAAATAATTCCAATGGGTGTTAAAAAGTGAGCTTTTTTCATTGAATATGTTTTTAATAACAGAATTGTCTTTTCAAATGTGATATCTGCAGGTTTCTTAGGAAGTATGTCATTTACATATTTCTCGTGTTCCACAGGTCCTAATTTTTGTAGCAGTAACCAAACTTTTCTTTCATCTGTCTATCAAAGACAATCTTATTTAAATACATCTTCATAATGCCTATAATATGAGGAAAAAGGATTATAATTGAATTCACAAATAGAATTTGCAATAGAATCTTTAGTAATTACAGTTCTTTGTTATCCGATTTTTTAAAAAAATTTTCAACATTTCTTCATATTGTTGGTTCTGGTATTCCTGCAGTTGTTGTTGGTTTAAACACATTTCATGCTGTGTTTTTGCTGTTTTAATAGTTCAAGCATTAGTTATAAATTCCTCCATACTGACAGACATTTTTTTTTTTTTCAAGTCAGAAGAAGAAAAAAAAATCCACTGTACCTTTTATTCCAGCATGCTTTTAGAGTTCTTTTCATTGTTAACTTGTTTTTAGTCCCTCTTAAAAAATTTTGCTCTTTGTGTCGCCAAACTGTTGTAAATGAGTTATCAAAAACAACAATAGAAAACTGGAATTGGTTTAACAACATGTTTATTACCTTTTGGTATAGAGAAACATAATGTAGAATAGAAACTAGGGAAGAAAATGTTTAGCCATGAATAACTGTTTTCAGTAAAAGCTACTGCTCCTCCTCTTGATGTAGTATTTTTGTCTTTCGTCTAATGGCTGAGTCCAGACTTGTAAGGGAATATTCTCCCTCACAACATAAACTTTTGTAAAAACAAAAATCAGCTTCTCACTAAAATGTTTCACCAAAATTAACACTGTTATATCAGTGTGTATGCATGAGTGTTCACTGTTCATACTGTGTCCTTTATTTTTTTATTTTTCTATTTGTCCTTTTTTTGTAACTTTTTTCTTGTCTGTCCATCAAAATTTGTTCAATCTCACATGGTACAAAACTAGTCTGCTTAGACATTTTACTTTTTTTTCCTCCTCGATTCTTTTTCATCATTATTTCTTATGTTGGCTTGTTTAGATATGTATGTATGAGCATTTAGAAAATAGTAATATCATTGTACTTAGTTTCTTTTTATTTTTTCTCTGCCCTTGTGTCTTGATTACTTTTTTCTTTTATTTCTTATTCTCCTTGTTGAGTCTTCAATGTGAACATTTTCTCTGCACTTTTCCACATTGTGTCGTAACCCTCGTTCTGCACCCCCCCCCCCCACCATCCTGGGAGATCTTGGACACGGCACCAATTTGATAA